ACATTGCCGGGGGTTTTTCGGGCTGTTTCGTTGGTCAAGTGGCCGAGCGAAAGTCCACTCAGCCAAAAATAGCTCCTTGGGTGAGTGCACTGTCTGACGGCGTGTTTTGCCTTCTGCTCCGTGCAACTGGCAAATTCACAGCGGAAACACAGGGTATGGGTGGAATTTCTTAAACAGCTCCCCGCCAAAGTGGTTTCAACTTGAGCCACGAACGGGATTAGTCAATTGCATTGCCTCGTCACTGCGTGAGTATCGGTAGTGGTGGTGGTGGTGGTGGTGGTGGTAGTGGTGGTGGTAGTGTCAACTTGCCTGGCTGGTTGCTAGAAGGTGAACTTAATTTCAGGTTCAGTGAGAAGAATGACGGGGACGACAATGTCATGTGCCACTTAGTGCCGATTACTCTGCTCTACCGCCACCGACAGTGAAAGAACCTTGTAGCACTAAGAATTCCTTTGTGTTGTGATGGAGCCTGCAATAACACGAAGACGAAAGCGCATGCTTGGATCTCTTGCCTTCGCTTGTTTCCAACACAATTTCTGCTGTAATTGTAAGCGTAGGAAAGTACACTTTTTGACTGAACCCAGTCAAGGCAAGGGCCTTACCTGAGCCACACAGGTGCCCCAAATGTGGGGCGGAGACGGGGGCTTCACCACGTCCCCAGACGACCCCCCTCCTGTCAGCCACAACTAATTCAATGGTCCACCTCGTAGGCGCCAAACACTTCACGCATCATGGCCTCCTTGGTTGTGCCTAGAGAAGGCATCTTCATGTTGCCCAATCCAGACGTGCGATGTTTCCTTGTTTCTTCCGACGTCTCTCTCAATGTAACGCACTACTTGCTTTTGGCTAAGCCTAATGACTTCGCCAATGTAAATTGACTTGCATTGTGTATTTGCCCACTTAAAACCTCACCTTGATGTGCTCATTACTAGTGGCTTTGGTCCCGCGTCTCTGAACAAAGTTGAATACCTATGAACGCACTCTTGCAACTGGTTATTCGGATTAAACGACAGGAACAAGTTTCTCCTGGGATACCAAGACATATCGCCGCTCTTCGGCCATCCGAAGCTGGTTTTTGTGCTATCTAGTTTGTAGGTACCTGCTTACTTAAGTCATTCCTAATAGCATGCCTTTTGTTGGTAATTTTTGTCGTCTTCCTTAAATCCCCCGGCTAAGCCAAGGCTGTGGTCGCCTCGCACACTATTGCACGCCATTGTGCGTAACTCATCAATTTTGTCGTTTTTCATAAACTCAGTGGGCCAGTAGCACAGCCATGTGTAGATACGTATTTTCCCACCCCTAATGGCTCCAATTTTCCATTAGAAGAAAGGTTTGTTGTGTCTTAAACCCCATCCTGCGAGTTCACTTCGTCTTTGGTGCATTTAAAATCACGCACACACCACAGCGCCACTTTATTTGCTTCTACTAGTCTAAAACATAAAGCGAAACAGGTAGTACAACGTGTACGTGCAGCAGACTCGCCCACCCCACCACCAAATTACTACCCGAGGAATAAATTGATGAGGAAAAACACTCTCACCCTCATTTGGTGCACGCACGCAAGCCATTGGACGAAGAGGCGTGCATCCAATCTCCGTTCACTTTCATTTCAACTCATCCCCCAAGTGAGTTTTTAAGTAATCAGGAATGACGAGCGTCAAAAACTAACGGAAATGCACTTTTTCTCCCTCGATTGAAAAATTTACACAGCATAGTGTAGGGGGGATTCTCTTTGTGGGCCTCAGTGTGAACTCATCCGCAGCGCGACGGGCCACATCACTTGTGGGCTTGGCATGATTATTTGGGGGTCAAGCAGTCATCGGAACGCATTCACCGCTAGTGCCCTTGTTCTTCTAAACATACTGCATATCATGCGGTTCATTCGTTTGATTTTTCAAATTGTGCAGTGCTGTGACCACTACGATTACAAAGTACCAATCTTAAAATGATGCCAAGAAGTAGCCTACTAGTGATTTTTGCTTGTGTACCGGCAACTTGCTTCATCCGCGTTCTAATTGGCTTCTTCGTGGTTCTGCTGCCAGTCAGACTCGGCCAAATTGCCCGAGTCGCAGGAAGAAGATTCCTCAGACGCCCACGCTTAAGTTCTCCTCAAATCACCCAGCCGGATTTCACTCTCAGGTGTCACGCTAGTTAATCACAATAAAGGGTGTCTGGCTGGGCTGTGCGCAAATTTATTTTAATGTGATCATTTAGTGGCACAAAGCATTAGTGAAGCGACAGCCTCGTAATTAACCTGAGTCACCTTAATTGAATCAAATTAAAGCTTACTTCATTGCTTTTCTCATAGTGTGCAATTGTAGTTACCTCAGGAGACTTGTTTTAGCTAGGCAGTGAAGGGTGAAACAGTACTACACATTTCGGTTTTATGGCACAAAGCCAGCTTTCTCACGAGTTCACCTCCTCATTACTAGAAATCTTCTATTGATTGCGCCAGCAGGCGCAAGCAGCATCGAGCCTGGCTTGGCAGTAACAGCCTTCTTTTTTTCACAAGTTTCTGCCGTAAAACTTGTGTTTCAGTTTCCACTGAATCTGCGTTTTATTGTGCGGGGAAGGGACAGATTCCGTGGACGAGTCAACACGTAGTGACTTGCCCCGCGGGTTGACGAGAGCATAATCTCGCGTCGGAAGAAATTCGCGCTGCCTATCCACTGGTGTTTCAATGGCATCCTGTGCGACAAACGTCTGTCATCAAACCGTATTTTTGGTTCCACTGAGCACTGCCTGTCGATAGCCAAGGCAAGGAAAAGGGTAGCCCGGAGAGGGGGAGTCTGGGAAGGTCAGCAAACAGGGCTTTTTGTTTCAGTTTGACAGTTGTACACCGTACGCGTTTCGGAGGTGGATTATGCGAATTGTGTCCATCTCCCTTTCTGCTCAAGTGTATTGTGTCCTGTGTTTGCAACGGCAAGTGATTTTTCCCGAAAGTCAGTTTCACGTGCGTTCATTGGTTCTCTTGGATTAGGTTGTCTGGTGATGCGTCTTTCTAATTCCTGATTCATTCCTTATGCTACATTATACAAGGGAGTCACTCTTTTCATTGGTATTTTAACAGATGTTTCAATGTCAATTAGAGTGAAGTCTGTACAGTGGAGACCGAATTTCATGTCCTTTAATGCACCATTGAACTTATGTGATTAAACATCGAGATGTGGCTGTAAGTTTCGCGCCTATGCGTCAGAGGCTTCGTCGTCATCTAAAGCCAATTACAGAAAGGCACGGCTTTACTTTTTCCCACCGCTATTTGAGACGCTTTCCCCAGGGCATGGTGGCTTGTGTAGGTGGCGTGTTCTCGCTTTTTACAGGCTACTGTCACGTCTCGGTGGCTTTCCGCTCCCAACAGCCTTCAAGATGTCCGATTCCTCATATTGTCCAATTTTAGGTAGTAGCTTGTGCATTCAGAGCAATCCACCAGCTAGTTAAACCACTTTTTTCACGTACACACAAGTAATCCTTGGCACCTGAATTCAGCAAGTGCCTACTGCAATATCCAGTCTTGTGACTGCTCTCGGAGACTTGACTCTTGTTCGACCACAAGATGCTGACCCTAAATTTCAGTGCATTCAGTGTTGGCCCCACCGAATCAAAGTAAACGGCAATTGAAAACATTGTGGAAAGTAATGGCTTCTGGCCTAGGCTGTGCATCGATTGGTTGGCAAAGTGTACCGTCATTGTTGTGATGAGTGTTTTGGCTGGAGCGCTGGGGGGGGGCCTCAAACCACGCCGCGGCCGCCAGGTTGCATTCGTCCAGGTACACTATGCAGGTGGCCGATACGACGCAGACGCAACTGCCCCCTCCGTACCTTAACTCGGCTGTCAGTGTGTCGCATCGCTGGGCTTACAAAGCCGGGTGGTTGGCCAATAGAGGCTGGGTGAATCATAAACACCACTTCACTCGATTGCCAGGTGAGTGGTAGCTTAGCGAGAGTGGGAGTCTGTGCATGGGGTCGGACGTGTCCATGTGGGTGAAGCGGGGAATTGTGTGTTGAAGGGTGCGGTGACAGAGTTGGTGGACGTGAGTCATCAACATTCTCTACCTAGGATGCAATCCACTGTTATTTCTCTCCCAGTTAAAGTTGACATGATGTATTTTGTTGTTTCACAAAGTTTTAGAGTGTGCATAAATCGTTTGAAAACTTATTTGACCAGATTGTATTGCAGTGAACGCACATTCACGAGTTGATCGAACGTCATCGAGTGTCGATTACACTTGGCGTTCGACATTCACTCACGCGCTGTGCCATAACAGACTTGGGTGGCCAAATGTAAATAAAGCGGCATATTCGCTATCATCGGTCTTGCCGTTCCTCTCAGGCTGTTACGGGCTGTCGACTACCATGATTGTAGGATAGTGCTAAAGAAGCCGCTACAGTATTGACTTGTTTTTTTTCATTCGAATCCCGACAACCTGGCTTTGTGCGCTGTTTTGCCATGCATATGGTCTAACAAGTTGCACAGACTTTGCATTACCTTCCACTTAATATTCATCGGATGTCTTACCAGGGCCACTGCCTTAGCTTTTTACCGAAGATCCCGATTTAGCCCAGGTGTCTAAATTGCAGCGTCGGGGAGTTACTTCAATGACTTAATTTATGCAGCTTTTTCGGCAAATTTATTTATTTAACGAAAAGAAAGCAATGAACTTAATATTGTCCATCGTTTTTTATGGTCTTGCCCCATCTCTCAGGTAACGTATAAGTGCTGCTGCGATAGGAACTTGCAGACTTAGAGGCAATAAAGTCATCGATGAAATTTACGCACATCATCCGGCGACTTGAACTGTTTATTCCCTAAGGCGTGGTGCCGCATTAATCGAAATAAATGGTAGTCGGACGGAGCTAAGTCTGGTGAATATACCGCGTGTGGGAGAACTTCCATCCCATGTTCAAGTGGATCTCCTGAGTCTCGCGAGCAACGTGAGATCGAACGTTGTTAGGCAGCAGTATGACTTGTTTGCTCCTTCCCCAGTAAATAGCATTTTCTGGTCATGTCCTTCGCTCAGTTTGTTCAGTTATCGACTGTAGCGTACCGCAGTCATCGTGTGACGACCAGTTTCCATGAGTTCGTAATGAAGTGCACCCTTTATGTCCAACCACCAGATATACAGGCGAACCGTCTTCTTCAAGTGGATGCCTTGTTTCGCCGTCGATGTACTGGGTTGTCTGGGGCTTACCAACGACATTTTTACGTTTGGGATTCCCGTGCAAAGTATACTTGTCAATCACTGCTTGTTGCCGGCGGGTAAGCAGTGGAAGGCATGTTTCACTGAGATCTAAATCACCACTTCTAAAACGTTCGTACCGGTAATCACACGTTTCTTAAGACACAACATCGGCACCAAGAACACTACAAAGTGATTTCCGTGCTTTCGACGCACTTATTCCTCGTTGGAATTCGCATAAAATGCAGTGCCGAATGTGATGTTTACCTGGTGCCATTGTAAACTCTGTCATTTTGGAGGGTTATGCAACTCACGTAAACTTATCGTTCGGCGCTTTAAAATCTTGCTTCCGATCTTTTCAAAACGGCAAACAACACGAAAATATTTCTATTTTAATCACAATTTTAAGCTCGTAGAAGTCTGTGATAATTTAGTCATAGACATAATAATTAACTACCAAAGGAAGTTCTCGACCTGGAGACGCCAGGAAACTGTAACGATTGGGTCTCCAATGATGTGTCTGGTCGTTTTGATTTGTGGAGCTGCGACACATCTCTCACCGTGGTCGTTTTTCGCTAATCTCGCGAAGACCTATTTCCAACTCTCTTGGAAGTTGCTCAATTTTTAATCACATTAACGAATGCAATCAGTTCATTTGTTTGGCGGTATATTTACTCCTGCTGCTGCTGCTGCTGCTGCTCTTTTTTGCCAAATCTAACTTTCACTTAATTAATTACATTAAAATAGATTTAAGTAAAGCAAGATGTGCACTCCCGTAATTAAAGTGGTCTGCACTCGCGCACCCCCGAGTCTTGTTGCCGTCGCGGATTGCGGGTATTTTCACTGTCTGGAATGTCGATAGTCTGTGGCAGTAGTCAAATTGCAAAATTAGTGTAATTTTCACTATGTTCAATCAACCTAGCCGATTACCTCTATGCTCGTCTAACATCTCTGCGGCGTCCAGCACCTGAGACTAGTGTCTTAAAGTGAGTAGCAGTTTCTACTGCGCTATTGCATTTATCGGTTCCTCGCAGCACGACTGTCTCGTTTTTAGTCGTTTCCCTAGTTTTTTTGGCGTTTGTAAATGGGCAGTTCTGTTAGTGTGCTAGCATCATTAGCATTTGTCTGAGCTGCGTTGGCTCATTAGTATATTTTGGCTCGCGTAAACATCCTTTCTTCGTGTCACAGATATGCCTGGGCAACGTGGTGGCAGGTCGCCATCTATTCCCTTTTGCAGGCGTGCTTGGCTTGAACGTCCGGGTTGGTGTGTGTGTACCTCGTCACATCAGTTCGTTGAATCTGCAGACTTTATTAGCCATTAATTAATGCGCCGCTTGGTATGCACACACACACACACCGAGATACTTTGATTTATACCGTCTGCCGTCAGAAATTTATTTTGTCGCTCAAACGAACTTTGCCAGCAAGTCGGTCAGGCCATCGCTACCGTCAATCAGCTGCTTTCGCTCGGAGTTGTGACCGTGAGGCGGGTCCACGCGTTTTGGCGGCCCGTTTTTTATGCAACCGAGTGGGCGCCTTAGGAGTTGATATTTCCGTTAAATTATTCCCGCATTCGACATAGACCTTGCTCGCAAACTATGTCGGACTTGTTGGGCTATCTCCCTATGGAGCCTACTGGTTTCTTCCTGTTTTGTGCTGCATTCATGACCTCAGTGTTATCCACTCGTGTCGGTTGTAAATGTGGCTCCGAAATATGAGAGTTTTCGGTGAGCACCAAGCTGCGATCCTCTCACCCTGAAATCCTTTGTCGAGTAAGATTTCTCTTACTACGTGCTTCTTCGAACTTGGGTAAAAATTGTTTCTCGCGCCACTGGTATAATCAACATCGGTTGATCTTCGACGTTGAAATGACCTACTGCCCCGTTTGAATTGAATTAGGCTGAACTACCTACATACACCGGCAATAGAATCGGCCTTAATGGAATTTCTCCCACGCCAAAATGTAGCTACACGCACTGAACGAAATGTGATGGCCTGACTTTTTATTATTACAATCATATTTCAGGGTAGCACTTTGTTCTTTAGGCGATTTTTCCATATTCACGGAAACTCAGAATGGCCAATCACCGTTCGATTGCCCTTCGTATTCTACTGCAGCCGCCGAATACGTTCAACTTCTTTGTCGGCAGTTCCAATGGATATTGTGGATGGTCTCCTCGATTCGCACTCACAAGCGACCTCTCATTGGCCCCCACCAAGGACAGCTCTGATTGGTGGAAAATTACTCAGATTTGCGCCGAGGGACCCTCTGGAGCAGGGTTTTCTCTCACCCCTCTTATTGATGATCCGGGATACGTGAATGGCCTTGATTCAGCCTTGATACCTCTTCTCGATGGCCTGGTTCACAACATCTCATGCTCCTGGTTCTTTGCCCAGACGCTCTCGGAGGAGGCTGAGCTTTCCTCACTAACGTCACCAGGCTTTCTTATTGAATTCGATTTTAACCTTCTAGACTGATCGATAGAATGCAGCAATATTTCTGGCCTGTGATTAATTTTTCGGTCCCATTTGAAAGGGCCTTCAAAAGGGATGTTGGAATTTTATTTTTTTGGTTTGAAGCCGTAAACAGGTGCATCTTCCACTCATACCATTCATTATTTTGTAAAAAATCCACTTTTATTTGTCTTACCGAACTTTGTCAAAGAACAATAACCTCTTTTCACTTTGATGTTTTTTTATTTGGATTAATCGCGCCGGTGCAATTTCATGAGTGACGTTCCAGGGTTAAATAAACAAAAGTACGACCTTTTATGGGGCATTGAGTAAACACCGTAATCAAAAACCCTGACTCTCCTGACTGCTAATTGTTAGGAATCAGATTCAGTGCCACGATCACCACGCGAATCTCGACCACCCATCACGAGCAGTCGCCTCGATCTTCTGAAGGTACGCAGGGTGGTTGCTCCTCGTTTGCAGGGGCGATTTGCCCTTTGAGCAGTAATCTTGGGAAGACAAGCCTCAAAGAAGCACTCGGAGCACTGTAAGAAGCCTGCTCTTTGCCCGAACCTGTCTAAAAGGTCGGATTACTCGGGCAGTTCCCGGAACAGGTTGTTAAGTGGGCTTTCGTGCCCCTGGCCTACTCCTTTAAATCTTCCCAGAACAGACCGGAAACATCAATAGCTGCGCAATTCCTCATGCACTTCAGCTAGAAACTGTCCCCGTATGGCAACGCTGGCAAATTTAGGAACGTTTCCTTTTTGGTGTAGTAGCCTCATTTGATATTCAAAGCGTGAAGCATCATTTCTAATATGAAAAATCGGAAATGAAGGAGGGAGGTTAATTGAGTAACAATCCAAATGTTCTGTGTGTTTGTGTGTGAATGCACAATAGGACTCCTCATTAATTATTCAAATCAATTCCTAATTAATATGTGCTTTTAATTCATCCTTATGTAAATTGAACTGAAAATGACAATTCGTGTTGGTCAAGAGAGGTCTTAACCGACCCGTTCTATGCAGTTGTCAATGTAAGTTCTGCAACCGCATTCTCCCACTTGGCACCTCCTGACATGAACGGGACACAATTGTGAGCCAAGTCCACACGGTGACATCGGTAAAAAAGACTTTAGGTTGCAGCTTTGAATTGATCGAAAGCAGTTAAATCGATTGTCTCTACTGAGATTTCTGGCCCACCTACCTAACCTCGTGCCAACTTAAAATGAAGAGACTAATAATGCTGTACAGGACTCATGTTTTCAAGGTTGAAGGCCTTTTCGGTTGCTTTGGTGTGGAGGTTGCCAGCACAGTCCGATTTGAGCTTAAATGAATGGCGTTATCAGCCGATTATGGCATGTATGGTGCTCGTGTTTGTGGCAATCACCGAGCGAGCATCGTCAGCAAGCGTGGGCAGACGCGAATTCCGTCGATTTGCTTGAATGCACTTCACGTGGCAAAATTCCCACAACGATCGATATTAACCGATCCTACAAAAACTGGCGACCTATTGCTCCATACAACCACGCTACGGCTGTAGCAAACAAATTGTTGAGCCACGCTTTATCTGCAGTTTTCTCTCCCCCTTGGCCAAGCTTGACAACGTAGGTCGCTGGTGGTTCTCGAACCACGCCGGGGAATTCAACAATGACGGCCCCGACGTGATATGAGCGTGCATGACCTGATAAGTAGTCGTATTTTGCATTAACGAATAAACCAACGAATGTGGCTGAACAGGACAATCAAAGAATAACTGCGAGTACTGTTTTATATGATGATTGACAGTTTAAATCTTATCGGTAATGGAACAATTTCAATGCATACAGTTGGAATTAAGCGTGACTTCCTGATTTAGCATTCGTTTGGACTGATGGATTTAATTTTCATATTTTATTTTTTTGGAGATATTGTAATAGGGAAAAAAAGTAGATTTGACATTCGTCTTAGGCTGAGTCTCTACAAGCAGTCGGAAATCTATGGGATTCGGCGTTAACCAACTTATCCAGTAGGCGGTGACTGCATTGAAATAAGTTCCTTGAAACTCTTTTAAGAATATTTCTGGATTATTTTTAAAAGTTGTGATATTATTGCACCTTAACACATTGTGAGGTTTCACTCTGGATGTCTGCTGTCCAATATGGAACCCACTGAAGAGCTACCTTGACAAACACGTGAATCAGACGTCATAAAAAGCCACAGTAAAATCTGGTTGTCTGGACACTGATAACTTATAGTCGGCAAACATGCCACATACGGATTCCCTGCATTAAATAAGTAACACGGAAGAAGAAATTCGTTTGTAGATCCACATGTCGTTAGCGTGCTCTGATACTCCAAGGTAGTGGTCTTATTCATAAATTAAAGTACGTAATTTCTAAGTGGCCTTGAACTCTGTTGGGACAGTTCTTACCCTTCTGAAGTGAGTTTGCAAGCTGTCAAAATATTTTTTTTATTGTCCGACCATTTGGCATCTTTGAGTGGAAAGTGCAAGACTATTTTTCACACTTTTGTTTGCAAAAGTAAGCTCCCTTCACCGACGCGTAGGTCATTCAAAGTCTAATTACGCCCATTTTCACTAGACTCCCACGAGTGATAGACAAGAATAAAGATATACCTAATAATTAAAGATTTGCATTAACTGAAATTATATGAAAATAACTTGGGACTAGCAGCACAGTTGGCACGCAAATATTTTCTCTTTATCCTTCCACTTTTTTCCACATGGCATTTTTATTTTCTAATGGTTGCGGATTGGCCTCATGGGGTTAAGGCACTTTATCCATTAGGTTTTGGTTAATCTGGTGGATTCA